GTGCACGATCCTCTCGCATCTGCCCAGCAAACCTGCACGGACCCTCAACACAGACGCCCAGAGTTCCTGGGTCTGGACTGTTCCCCGTTAACGCCAGGTTCAAGTCTAACACTCGAAGGGGTCTGTCGCTGCCCTACAGGGTCACTATGGAGGGACTGTCTGAAAGACGCGTGAGCAGCCCACGTGCAAAGTAAAATGATTGAAAAGGTCTGTCAAAGCCAAGCAGTGCCGGTGCCTGTCCACCCCCCGCCCCCCGAGTACCTGAGAGCCACGCTGTGCGCGGCCGTGCCCAGCGCTCTCCTCCCCAGGATGCAGAGGGCGAAGGCCAGGGTCACCAGCGGGGAGTCCTCGTCGCTGTCCAGGGTCTGCGAGGCCTGAAAGAGCAGGGATGTTACTTCGCCCGTCACAGCTGCCCGCGTGCGCCACGGTGTCACCCGTGTGCGGGCCGGGGCACGTGAGGTCCGATCAGCGTCAGCAGCCTCCACCGTGAGCAGCTCTAGGCCGCTGCTTCCTGCCTGAGGTCGTCTCTCAGGTGGTTAACATGCCAAGGAAGCTCACGTGAGGGAGAGGGGCTGGCATGTGGCTTGCTGACCTTGTCGCCGGGCAGTTTGCATGTGGCACCTCAGGCCATGAAGATGGTCAGAGATTAGAGTCAACCGAATGCCCACCTTCACCCCGTCCGTGCCCACTTCACCCCGTCCGTGCTCACCTTCACATGGTCCATGACCACTTCACTGTCCATGCCCACCTTCACCCCATCCATACCCACTTCACTGTCCATGCCCACTTCACACTGTCTGTGTCCACCTTCACCCTGTCCATGCCCACCTTCACACTGTCCATGCCCACCTTCACACTGTCCATCCCCACCTTCACACTGTCTATCCCCACCTTCACACTGTCCAATGCAAAGAGGCTTCCTGTTCTCCCTCTGATGAGAGCCCCCTGAACTGACCAAAGTCCACAATCAGCAACTAAATTACGCGACTCGCCCGAGTCGATTTAAGAGGCGGCAGGAGGGGACGGGCAGAGGGCATTTAAAGCCCAAGTGTCTTGAGCAAGAAAAGGGGACGAATGATCTCAGGAACCAGCTGAGGGGAGAGGGGAGCCGTCCCGGGAGCAGGCGACAATCTCGACAGAGGCCCCTGCGGTTTCCGGTGAATTCCCCTCCGAAAGGCCAGCGCCTGGCCTGGAGAAGTAAACTGAGGCAGGAAATGAAATCCAGGCCCTGACCCTGAGCACGGACCACGGAGACGGACCTTCAGGCTCCTCCATCGGAGCTACGGCCGGTGAGATATTTCCATGGCTAACATTGACCACATGCCAATGCTTTTCTCGCCTTTATTTTATTAATCTACCAGGGAGGACAGGAGAGAGACTGTACAGTTTTCCTGGTTCACTTTTTTTAAAAAAAACATGATTATTGATTTCCGAGAGGAAAGGGGAGAGAGAGAGAAACATCAGTGATGAGAGAGAATCATCAATCATCAGCTGCCTCCTGCACGCCCCTCACTGGGGATGGAGCCCACAACCCGGGCATGTGCCCTGACCGGGAATCGAACCGTGACCTCCTGGTTCATAGGTCGACGCTCAACCACTGAGCCACACCAGCTGGGCAGTTTTCCTGTGTTTTTTTTTTCATTCACAGTCAAGGCCCCAGCGGCCCCCCACCCCACACACACACCTCCTGTGTCCTCCGCGCGCAGTGCTGGATCCACTCGAGGTAGACGCTGCAGTAGCTGGCCCGCGTGACGCCCTGCAGACACGGCACGTAGTCCTCGTCGATGTTGATGTTGAACACGGCGAGGTCGCGCTCGATGTGATGCCACTTGGCAAAGGGCTGCAGCGCCGTCAGGAGGGACGCGTTCTTGATCCAGGAGAGGAGCTTGGGGGACGTGACCAGGTAGTAGATGATACTCTGCGGGGAGGAACCAGGTCTGAGCCCTCGCAGCCGCTCCGAAGCCAGGGGGCTTGTTAGTCACTGGGGCTCCTAACGCCAGCGGCTGTCAGAGAGGCAGGGGACACGCGATTGCCACGTGTGTCCTGTGTTTCCTGCGGGGCTTAGTGACAGAGCCCACGGAAGACATTCCCAAACCTCTCTAAGGGCCCCTGCGGGGACGAGGGAGGGGGAAGAACAGGATGTCACAGACGGACAAGGACCGACTCCGGGGGGAGAAAGGACAGCCAGCCCTCTCCTGGCTGAGATGCACACAAGACCCTGGCTTCTGTGGGTGCCAGGCTGGGCCGATCCCGCGGGGACGGGTGGACCCTCCTCCAGCCCTGCCACGCAGTGTTTGATGGACTAAAACAGCAAAGCTGCACCCGGCTGGTGTGGCTCAGTGGTTGAGAGTCGACCTATGAACCAGGAGGTCAGGGTTTGATTCCCGGTCCCGGTACAGGCCCGGGTTGTGGGCTCCATCCCCAGTGTGGGGCGTGCAGGAGGCAGCGGATCAGTGATTCTCGCTCATCATGGATGTTTCTCTCTCTCTCCCTTCCTCTGAAATCAATAAAAATATATTTAAAAAAAAATAGGTCGGCTCAAAGTTACAAGCACATGAGGCTCTGTGACCGTGGCCAGAGTGCCCGCGTCTCAGCTGACAGTTACAGGGGGAAAGAAGTGTGCGTGTCCACACATCTGGCTCCAGCCCACATCTGGCCTCGTTTCCCCAGTAGGTCCTAATCACGTGTCCCCGACAGGAATAACAAACAAATCAAAAGACGGTCGTTTCGCTTTCCACTCATTTCCAAGGAATTAAAATACCCTCCACGGATGAAGTCAGACTAGTAAACGAGGACTTTGACCTCCAGAGGTCAAAACCCCTTCCTCCAGTTCTGGCAGAACCCTACAGCCTTGACTTTGGAGCTCGACCCCAGCCGGGTGCTCAGCTCTCCCGGGCGAGGGGACGGGGGACCGTCCTTCTCACCAGGAGGAGAGGGGACCACGCCAGCTGGCTGCAAACCGTACCCCATTTCCACTTCATTTAGGGAGAAATTCCGTCCGGAACACAGACGGTGTGAACCCCCCCGAACCTGTCATAACGAGATGGACAGGCCGCTGAGTGAAACCGACAAGGAACCAACTGCGCATGAGAACCGACTGCGTAGACCCCAATCCAGGCTGGAGGCAGGACCCCTTCTGGCAGGACCCGCCGGCTCCTCATTTTAAATGCAGATCAGCACATGCTCTCACTCCCGGAGGGGCCGGGCAGCAGACCCCCGGGTCCCTGTGGGCCCCGCTGCCAGGCCAGCGATAAGCCATCTCCTTTGTCCGGAGACAATGGCACCAGGACCCAGGCGCCTCGGGAAGCCGCGTCTGGACCCACAGGAGGGTTTTAGACCCGAGCGAATGGAGAGATGGCGGGGACCCAGGGGACCCTCCGGCCCGGCGAGGAAATGACTTCAAATGGATGCACGGGGGGCCGGGAGCTGACCCGGTGCATTGGGAGATCAAACAGCCCTTTTGTGTGAAGGAATTAGCCTACGCTTTCCTCCCGCTCCGATCTGCCTGCCAGTGAAAAACAATACGGAGAATAACACGGACCCCGTGAAAGCTGAGGCAGTTCAGAGCCACAAAGGCGCCTGCAGTGACCAGGAACCAAAGAGGACGTTCCTCACTTTAGACCCCACAACGCTGCTCCTTCTAACGGCCGCGCAGCCCCCCGAAACCCTTACCTCCCGCCACCGGGGAACGAGCGTGGGGAAGGACAGTCCCGAGACCTGGACCCCGAGGTGGCCTCATGGCGGAGGTGGTGAGGACGAACCACGCGTGTTTTAAAGATCCCACCACGGGAAAGGGCGTCACAGCACTCCTGGCTGCAGTCACGTCGGGGTGTGGTGCGCGTTGTTGAACCTCCGACCTCACAGTCTGTCTTCTGTTTCCTGTCACTGTCAGCACACGCTGGGGCCCCCTGGGACAGCCCCTCCAAATCTCCAACTGTCCTCTTTGAGCTGGTGAACTCCTGACCCTCCTCGCCTGGGGTTTTTGTCTTGTGTTTCCTCGTTGCTGTCTCTGCCTCGGCTGGCAGGGTGTTTGGGGTCCCAGGTGAATGGGGGGCCTCACTTGGAATGGCTCTGAGGATGCTCCCATCATGCAAAGTGCTCCCTCGGAACAGGAGCCACCCCAGGGCCGTTCTGAGCCGTGGCTGACCTGGGCCCTCCCCTGGGAAAACACCTCCGCCCCGCCCAGCTGTCACCCTCCGACCTGGGTCCAGTCTCACTCTCGTCCTCCAGGGATCTGGGCCCAAACCGGCCCATTTTCCGAGCTGCATATGCACTGGGCAGACGGTACCGAGCAGGTAAGTGATGGGCGCTCAGTCTCCACACGCGGAGGAGAAGGGCTGCTGCGGCTAATCGGGAACGGGTCGCTTAGCTCTGTTTTTGAGTTCAGTTTAGCTTAGGACGTCATTCTGGTCATTCTCAAGGGCAAATGCGCAGAGCATATACATCGACACTTGTAACGTGTAAACGGCTGGGTCATGGTTTCAGGCTGTTGCCATTCATCACCACCAGCATTACCATAACGAGCTGTGTTAGAAGCGAAACAGCCCCGCCGGCGTGGCTCAGTGGTTGAGCATCGACCTATGAACCAGGAGGTCACGGTCTGATTCCCGGTCAGGGCACAGGCCCGGGTTGTGGGCTCGGTCCCCAGTAGCGGGTGTGCAGGAGGCAGCCGATCAGTGGTTCTCTCTCATCATTGATGTTTTTATCTCTGTCTCCCTCTCCCTTCCGCTCTGAAATCAATAAAAATATATTTAAAAAAGAAGCGAGGAGACAGACCCGGGTGAGAAGCGGACTGCCTGTGAGAACCTGACTCTGGGCCTGGACTCGGGCTACCCCACAGCCTCGAGGGTTTTTCACAGGCCCGGCTGGGCCCTGTGGGTCAGTTACCTTGACGTAGTAGCGGATGAGGATCCTGCGCAGGTCGAACACCTGCAGCATGG